CTTTTGGTAACTTTTACGGTTAGCTTTTCCACGTTCCCGGACTTTCATAACCCGCCTTCCTTCTCAGCTATGGCTGTCACCGTCACTTTGACTCCGAAACTTGGTAATATTTTGAACGAAGACCCGATGAGGCCATTTGATACAGTGAGCCCAATGTCAACATACCATGAAGTTTCAGACTAAGTTCCAGTTAGGCTTCAAATCAGCTTTAAACCACATAATATTCGTAGCTAACGTTAGCGTATCAGAAAGTAATTTAAGATCTGTTAGTGGGTAAAAGTCTAAGATGGAGTAATTACTTCAAAGTGGATTGTTGATGCTTTGTAGGTCTGGAAATGAAAGTTAGTTGGTATTGCAGTTATATGTTGTGAGAAGCAAAGAAGGCTTGCATTATTGAAGGAAAACTCCGTTTCAAGGGGTACCATTTTAATGCAATACAGAGCAGGCATCATTTAATAAAAGCTAGCCTTCTGCCGAGCAATAGCATGCCTTCACCTCACGCACATCGCTACGCGATTTGTCAGCCCGATAACTGCCACACAATCCTCGCGCAACCCTGCCATGCAGTGGTGTATGTCGAGTGACGCGATTTTGGGTTGTCACTAAGGGCACATCTCCAGTGGCCTTTATATTACATGGAGTTTTTAAATTGTAATTTGTATCATCTTCCATAAAAAAAAAGAACGTACTAGTTGTCTACATTGATTCAGAAGTATAACAAGAGCAAACCATTCAAAAATATGAAGCTAGAGTTGGAAAATTTTAAAGAAATGAACCTGGAGAGGTTTTTGTCTGTAGCTTTAACAAATTCACTCGCAAGCTTTCATATTGCCCATATACTATCATCTAGCTGACATATTGTCAAATCTCTTCTTTCGGAAAGCTCAAAAGCTCATGAAAATTGCTTTTTATGGTGTTACTAGCATGTATATATAGTGACAGCCGGGAAAAGGCGCGCCACTCGACCGCCTCCCGCCATGCAGTGCGGCACGTCTTGGTTAGCTGGCACACAGACCAAACCCAATTTCTGCTGTTGTATACCTCATGCAATGGAGTCGCCCGCACTGAGCGACCCTAAGAAATTGCGCGTTTACTCAATTTTACGCTTTTTCTGATGATTTATTGAATTTCATAAGTTTTAAGACTACCTTTTGCCAATTTTCCCTAGTTTCTCTAATCATTACGGCAAAGGTTTTTGTTATTTCCCAAATGTTTGTGCGAGTTCAACACTCGTATCTAAAGTTACAAACGGCTGCGAGAGGCGCGCCCCATGGATCAATGCAAATTCGGATTTGCGCGCGCAGATTGTTGGTGGGGCACGCGATTTGAAGGGCCCTGCTCCACTTTGTTAATCTGAGGACATGAAATGTGCAGAGTTGCTGGAACAAATACAAGTTTGCATTTTCAGGGATACATAGTGCATTTCCTCGCCGCCATTTTTACGGATGGATCATCTTGGAGGTAAGACCGTTTACCATTGAGAGCCTGATTAAAACTTTACGGAAAGGGATTACAGAGTTTTTTATGTTAGGCCCAAAGCTTCAGGGTACATATATTATAGTACATTCTAGTAGTAGTAAATTCAACCATAGTGTCATCTGTAATGATGTTGCGACTCCGTTCCAATCAACTTTCAAGCTGAAATTTTTGTATATGTTATCGGCGGTAATGGAATCTATGGACGTCTGGCGTCTTCTGTTGTTGAATATGCATAC